ACTGCTCCACTAGCTCTCTGACCTTTAATTGTTGGTCCACTAGCTCTGACCCCACTTGAAGATCCAACATGCCTATAGACTTATTCAGACCAAGCATGTCAATTCGCCCCGGCTCGGCTGCGCCCCTTGTTCCCCATGTCTTCCACTGAGAGCCGCGGCTGACGTAGCTGAAGGAGACTCCATTGGTGACCTGAGCGGAAAACGTGTCCTCGGACGTGTCAGGGACCCCCGTGATGTGAACCGCTGGTGAGACCACCGTTGGGGTCACACATGTGAACGGAGCTCAGACTGGATCTGGGTCAGACCGGATCTGGGTCAGACTCGACCCGTGGGGAAAGTGGCTGTAGCTTTGTCAAAGGTATCCATGGAGGCTCAAGCCTTTTCTCTTTTTGTGTCCCAAAGGATGGGGCTGCTGGAGTTGTATCTGGACAACACCTCTCATCATCAGTGGTCGTCCGGAATTGCAATATTGGAACTTCAAGTGGTCGTCGTCCAGCCCTGACTTTGGTGATAGCCAGCGTAAGATTTGGGTTTAAGAGTTGACCAGTTTGAATCTTCCTGGTCTGTCCCCAATGACAATCCCACATCCCACTAACCGGTGCTTTCACAATGCCCCCAGCCACCATGAACGGTTGAGTTTCCCCCTACTTTCGGAAACCAAAAAAGTAAACCGACCGGGGGGAGACCTTGCAGCCATCGCAAAGATCGTCGTCAGCATAGCAGTAGATGTCGTAGTAGGTACCAAGCCTCAGAAATTTGGCAAGACCCAATGATCTCGGTCTTCACAGAGATACGTTTATATCCTTCATCACAGATTTCGGAAATGGTACGCTTGGTGAAAAGGAGATGGAAAAAGAGGGTCGACAAACGTCGACAAGATTGGTTTCTCCGAGGATTTGTTCCTTCTCTTCTTGGGTCCTTCTCTTACAAAAAAGAGAAACTGGACTTACCCTCAAAAACCCTCTTAGCGCCCAGCTTTGTGAGAAAGGAAACGCCAATGATGTCCGACCAAAGTTGTCCATCTACCTAGAGTGGTTGTACACTTGAGGGTATCCCCGGTATCCCATGTCAAGGCACACAACCTAAGACACAGAAGCTGAACTGGAGAAGAAATCATGACATGTCCAAGATCTGAGACAGGTTGAACCTTCCAATGGAGCGCTGGGCTACCGTGGTTTTCCACTGTTTTGCACCAGAGCGCACGATGCATTCTTGCCAGGCCAGGTTTGCAAAGCTATTGAAGAGCAACATGAAGATAGCTGCAAAGCAGCTATTGTGGAAAGGAACACGATTCTGATCCATTCACCCATTTCTGGGGTCTATGTTGTACCGGTCTAGCAGAAATGACTCAATGATGGCCGATGGCATTTGCAGCTGCTTGGCGACTGGCCGGTTCCGTCTAGATTCTAGATCTTGTGAGGCGCTCACACTCGATGCTTCTTCCCACTCTAGATCTAGCCAAACACTCCATTCAATTTATAAACAATTGATTCGTTGGTTTTGTACCTTCATGGATCAAACGGGCCTCAAATGGTCACAAGATATTTTGCATACCAGTCGCCGCCAGTGAGGCGGAATACATCTGCATGTGTATACCATCCGGACCAAGACATCACCAGCTTATCTGTTCACTCAACACTCTTCTCCTCAAGGGAAAATCCTCTATACCGTCTCTGGTAGGACCCACTTGGCTGCCACACACCAAAGGAGTCATATAGGTGTTGTCCCAGTTCCTGCACAAGTCTGCGGGGTAAATGGTTCGCACATCTGAAGAATCTGGGAATGGTACCAAATGTGCTTCCAGGATGGGGGACGTCTGCGGTGGTTTTCGTCTTTTTGGAATCGACACGCAAGAAATATATAGTGGTTCTCTCTTGCAGTGAAGCAGCCAAATGTCATGGGAAATGGAACTGGTGTTTATACAAACACTTTAAAAGCTTGCAAAGTCCTATTCTCCGCACGAATCAAATCCATCGGGAAGAGGGGTGGTGGCTGCGAGGGAACACTAGAAACTCAATTCCTCCAGTATAATCAAGCTATCACAACATCCCAGCCCTCCTTCCGACAGCGGCCTTCCACTCTCACTATCAAAAATCTGGTGTTCCCAACCATTATTGCTCATGTTATGTTTTTGGGCCACTGGGATTTACTAGTACTATCTAACAAAACCGCGACCCCGGCGACCCCTCTTTCCCCCCCCACCACCGTCCCCCATCCCCCCCATCCGCACCCCCGACGGGGCTCCTGGGGCGGTCATAGCCCAGGATCTGCACGTCCACCGGCACCGTGGTAGCTGAGTCGAGGAACCGGAGACAGAGCTCACCCGGGTCTTTTGGGGCTCACATGGCGTAACTGGTGGTTCGGGTTTCGATGAAAACGGATTTTGCATCGCAAAATAGGAACACGGAACATGAAGGAACATCTTCTCCAAACGATGTACACTCTGACTCACCAACATGGAAGCGGATGGCAGGGCTTCTTGGAAGAGGACTTTCCTTGGAAGAACAGGGGCGGGTTCCACTCCACTCCACTTCCATTGTGATGGGTTCGTCGGTCTGACACGGATCTTTTAACAAAACGTATACACTTTCGCCCCCTAACCAGTATCAATCAGAGAAGACAATTCAGACCCCTTTCTCAAGACCATTCAGAGTTAACATCTAAAATCATCTAAGATGTTAGATCATTTTAGATCAACAGGGTCTGCGACAACAGGGTCTGCAGTGAAATTCCAGTATCAACATTCGCCAAAAAATAACACAAAAAAACACATCGCATTAAAGCGGATTCACATCGGACTGTACACCGCGTCCAGGAGACGAGTGTAGTGGATGTACTCCGTGGTGAAGTTGCTGTCCAAGATCTCCAGGATGGTCGGAACCTCGAGGTGACTGACGAAGAAGGTGACCGTCGTGAGGTGACCGTTGACCGTCGTGTGTTCAACAACCACCGGTGTGAACAACGCCATTCCGGACGCTTCCTTTTTTGGGGCTCTTGTCCCATGTCGTCAAAAGGTGGTCACAAACCACCCTAGCCTAGCCCTAGCGTTTATGGTTCTTCTGTGACTAATCAACACTCTCCGCTGTCCGTCCCATGCGCCAAGAGGCGTTGAAGCCATGGCGCACCGCCTGACACCAGGCGGTGCCCGTCTCCGACAACTCCAAGTTCACCGTGATGGTCGTCTCCGTGGTGGACACCTCAGCAGTCGCAATGGACCCTTCTTCCTCTCCCACACCATCCAGGCAAACCACGATGTCGCTGGTATAACCAGTCAGTGGTTCCACTAGAAATCCTGGTTCAATTGTAGGGTGGTAACTGGAATCCACTGGGGTGATTGAACCCGAACGTTCCTGGCCCACCTTCGAAGCTCGATTTGATTGCACCTGCGGGGTACCAGGTGGATGCCGGTCTGTGGGTGGGTGAACCACCTTCGGATCTTAAACACAGCCCCACGGATCCCGAGGGTTTGTCTCAAAGTGATCACGACCTGGGTTCCGGTCTCGCAACTCAGTGTTGCGCAACAGTGGAGTGTTCAAGAAGCTCTCCGGTGACCAAGCAGTCGGCTCACAGCGTCATGGTCCAACTGCGGTGACAGCCTCTCTTGCCGTCGCTGCGGAAAGAGAGCCGGACTGTGGTCCGACCCCCCCTGGGGTCTCCTGGTCAGCCTCCCTCAGTGACCCCTCTGGTAAAAAGAAGCCCCTCTATCTGAATGGTATCAATCCCACTCTGCTATAAGAAGCCCCTTCTGACTGCATGGTACCTCTGGTCAAAAAAGATCTGAGGACTTATAAAAGGATGGTATGACGTGCCTCTGCTATAACACAACCTTATATACAAAACTTATATCTACAGTAAATGGTACCAAAATCTCTCTGGCACAACAATCATATCTAACTGCATGGTATAAAAACCCTCTGGTCGAAAATAGTAAATCTCACTCATAACTCATAACTGGATGGTATCAACGCTCCACACTTCACGTAGCTTAAAATCATACCAGCACCTTCAAAGGTGTCGCCAATGGAAGCCCCTACACTACTTCGGGATCTTCCTTGGACACCCCTTGAAGGTCCAGGTATGTGTTCTTTTTTCCCGGGATGTTGTTCTTCCTTCTGAGGCCTCGGACACTGTTGATCTGGATCGTTGGTGGAGTGAGGTCCAAGGTGATGACCTGACCCACCTGGTCTGCCAGTTGTGTGGTGACAAGAAGAGAGCGCTCGAGGGTCGGCACGTGGGGAGGAGTGGGGGGAGGACGTGGATGGTTTGATGGTTTGGGATGGGGTTGCTGCGTTTTTCTTCGGGTGTTGTTATAGGGGTCGTTTTGACAGGGAAAATTTGCATGACATCTGGTGGGAAGATGTAGATATGGTAGATGTCCTTTGTGCTGACAAGCGTTGTTGTGGCAATATTGTTGCAGAATTTTGCACAGGGGCCGATCATCTACAAAGCTTGCTCTAAGGAACCGCTTCCGCTCAAAATTGCCAATGAGTGATGAGTCTTCTTAGGAAATAAAAAATACATCAACATAGAAAGTACCACTCACAAGCAGTATATTTCTGTGGGTCATGGCACCAGGATACCCTTGGGCACGACCTACCTGGTGTGAGTCGTTTGCTACATGATGGACGACCGTCGGGCGAACATGGTGGGTCACGACGGTCACGATCCATCCCCCAAATGAATCTGCTTCTTCCCACAAAGCCTGAGCTGGACAGCAGCGGTTGATCTGCCTTTCAAGTATATTCAGATTAGACACCGTGTGGATCCACGTACCACCCTCTAGGTACGGTGATTGGAGACACTTTTAAGACCTTTGTTTGGAGGGTCCAAATAATCCAAATATACCTTGTGTGGATCCCGCGCCTTCCCAACTCCCAGCACCCCTCCCCTCCGTTCGGTGAACGTACGTGTCGCGGTGCGTGTCTTCGTTTGGGGCGGAGCCCGCGGTGTGGTATCACCGAGCGTCCACGGAAGAGAAGGAGGAGACCTCGGACCATAAGACCTGGCATCCGCGGCATCCGTTGGAGCCGAAACAGCCGGCACCCGCGCGTCGACGGGGACCGTGTAGCACAAGCCGAGGAGACCGTGTAGCCTTTCTGTGGCTGTGGACATGTTCACTGGCACTTTCACTGGCAAAACCTGTTCAAGTCGGAGTGTCTTGGGTGCGGGAAATGGGGACCGGCCATCCACGCAGATGAAGCCCCTCAGGAGCGGTGGCGATCTCATGCGCCAGTTGCTGGTCTTTTTGGTTTCACAAGGAATCGCTGGACTAAAGGAAAACCAAATGCCCGCGACAAAAAGGGAAGAACTTCCAAGTAGAGGGAAGCAAGAGTCAACCTAAACAATCACGTGTGTGAATCACAAGTCAAGGAACTGCCAAGTGTATCATCCACTCTACTGCCGCCAGTGAAAAAACTCCCAAATCCCATTGAATTGTCTCGTCCACCCCATCTCCCCCGCGCGCGCCGTCCGGGCCTCATTGGCTGCGCCGACATTGGCCGTCTGAAAGTTGATCGATTGCTGTGCCGCTCCGGTCGCCTGCCGCACCCGGGCAAAAGTCCCCCGGTGCAGTGTAGTCTATTGGACACCCCGTTGGATGGTCGTGGATGGTCTGGACGCCATCCCGCGGTGCGAGGGCAGAGCTGAGGTCGGCTGACGAAGTCCGAAGATCTATAAGAGTCTGAATTCCGTCCATGAGCTATGAAGGAGATTCATCTTTGGCAAAGAGGAACTCATCCATCTGCGCACGGTGCACCAATTCCGTAAACAGCCCGTGTTGGTATATATCGATAAAGAGGCCCTAGGCTCGGGCTTCTGGGAGAAAGGCAAAATGAACACCGTCGTCTATCTTTGTGTGAAACAGGGACATATGAAGACATGGAGAGCGACATGTTCTGCCGGCTCGGAATTTGTTCAATGAAGATCGGTGGGCGTGCCGGCTCATGAACCACCGACTCGGACCGGACTGGTTTTCAGCTTCTTCACTCCACGTCTCTTCCCGGTTCTCAGTGCCAGCCAAACCACCTGGCTGTACGAGTATATAGTAGGTCCAGTGCTTCCAATTCGCCGTCCAAAGCGTAGGGCCGAAACCGTCCTGCAACGTGATCTTATTCCTTACCCATAGGGTCCAGGTACCTCTTGAGGATGGTCTTGGAGGTGAAAGTACTTCCAGAGAATGGCTTAGGGATCCAGACGTACCTCCGTCAGGTTCAGGTCATACTGGAACCCTCCTGGCATCCACCTTGGGCCCCCGTCTTCCCACTCGAACCGCAACGCAGGTAGTGTACTTCCCACTGCGGAGCCCAGACCGAAACGCGGTCTACCGCGCTAGCTCTCTCGAAACCGGATCCTCCGTCAAAGATCGGGTCTAGGGTCGGGCTCGATCGCTCCGCGCGCGCGCCTCGAAGTCCCAGTCGTCGGCGGCGAAGCAGAAGATGTTGTAGTTGGACTCCCGCGACAAGAGCGTGGCCTCAGCCGTCTGCACGTCCGCCACACCACCGGGTCGCCGGATTGACCCGCACCCGGAAGGAAGCGCCGCCCCGTGCAGTGGTGGCGGACAGCGGTGCTACCCGGACAGCATGGGCGACTTGGGTGCGACTTGGGTGGTGACTCTCTGGACACGAAAGAGGTGCCAGGTGGCCCAGATCCGGCGCTGCCGACACGATCGTGGTCTGGAAGAGGTGCCTCTGCCACTCCGGGTGCGTTGGGGCGGCTTGTGTGGGTGGGTGGGTGCGGTGGTGTAGACTCCGTGGGTTGGCACGGGTTGACCAAGAAGGGGAGGAGGGGAGGATGAAGGGAGTCAGGGGTGAACCCACTTGGAGGGTCATGTTCATAGCGAAGTGGCTCCAGATACTGTCTTCATGTCGCACAAGCGTGCACCGCGGCACGTACGCTTTCATTGATTTGAAGCTAGCATTCAAGCGGCAAAGCTGCAACCTATTCTCTAAAGAACATGAATCAATTTTAATATCATTTAGCTTTATCCTGCTATATGTAAGAAGAATCCTGCCAGGCCCTATCCTAAAGCATTTTCTTTAGGGGGTTGGCCACTGCCAGGATGTGTTGCTCGGTGCCGGGCTGCAGCTCCCGACGAACCAGACACTGAAAACTGAGACAAATCAAGAGGCTGAGGGCAGCCTCTTGGCGTCCAAAATCTTTTGGTTCATAAAGACTGTAGATGACCCTGCACCTCCAAGTACCTCCTCAGAAGGTATTTGGACCCTCCAAACCCGCCCCAAACACCTTCTCAGAAGGCACTTGGAGGCCTAGGGTGATTTTGCTATATGGATGAAACGGACTGTGTTTTGAGTCTTTAGGATCCTCGCAGAAACTAGGTGGAAAAGGAAAAAGTCGGAAAGAGGCCAGAGCGGCTAGATTGCAAAGGAAAGTGCTCTTCCTGGTTGTCATTTGTTTACTTCCAGGAACAGAACAAACATCGAGTAATTTGACCGCACCGGCAGGACCATGATGAACAAACACTCCCCAAACATTGGGCTCAAATCTGATAGTCAAGCTCCAGATAGTTCCAAGTGAATGATCTCTCTAAAGCTAAAACCGTCACGTATACTCATGCCATCCATGTATGGAATAGCTACTGAGCTACAAGTATACCTGGATCCTCCTTTGGGCGGAAAAAAGTGCCGGACCTCAATCCGGCAAAATTTTCCGCCGGATTCCGAAAAAAACGCCGGAGACCTGAAAAAACATCCGGATCCAAGATTCTAAAAAAAGAGATGATAAAAGGTTGGATCATACACAAGGAAATTGCCTTTGCGCCGCGAGTAGTTCCTTTGGAGCACACTCGAACCTTCCCGTTCCCATTGCCCTCGCCCATCTTCCGAATGGCCTAAGAGCAGAACCATCACAAAATATAAGCAACTTGTGCCCAAGCAAAGACTTCCAAGAAGAAACCAAGGAGCATGTGGCAATGAATTCATCTTTCTCTGCAACCGTGTCCGTAAAGTGTTTTTTTAACAAAGTGGGTTGCTCTCCATGATTCTTATGCTTCTTAATGTTTCTTTAAAGCTTGCCTCAGGACGGCCCCCCAATAAAGTAGCAGAACTCATGGCTCCTGTCAAAACTCTTCTTTGAAAAACTTTTCAACGTCAAAGCCAAAGCCTGCAGAAGACTCAGTCCAAAAAAAACCGTCGGAGTTACGGGAAATTACGCCGGAGTTACGGGAAATTACGCCGGAGTTACGACGTGCCATTTTTTGACAACTCTCTGCAAAACATTGAGATTCTGAACAACACATGTTCCACAGCCCAAAAAACTTGTCCGGCAGGCTCTGCAATGCAAACCTGCGCAGCTAGAACTATATCCCAGCGCCCCGACATCCTGAAACAATGGGAGTACATTTTTGCCTATGCTCTTTCAGCTTAGGTACGCCCACTTGGGTCTTTCAACATGTGCATCGCACTGTACCGGCTTCATCCGATTTCATTTAGAAGATCACCTAAACGGGGGATCTGATTGATCCAGTGTGAGCCATGCTGAAACCGATGGAATGATAAAACAGCGGAACAGGCAAACGAGCAAACTTTGCAAACACAATCATTGCATCAGTAGTGGGTTTACCTTCGAAGAAATGCAGACCACAAAGAATGCAAAGCCTTGAGAATCCACATAAAGTGACTTGGAAAAAGCGCCGGACCAAATCCAGAAAAACGCCGGAGTGGGAAGTCCGGCGCCGGACCCTGTAAAAGTGCCGGACTGAAGATCTAGGTATACATGTGACTCATCTACGACCCATCCATGTAAGTAACTACTCCAGTCCCATGAATGGTCTGACAATATGGACCACAATGAACAGGCGGCTACTCCGGACACCTGTGACAACTCGAACTGGCTACTCGAACACGACCTCAACTGACTGGTGCTGGTATTGAGGGAATGCATTGAATGAATCCAACATGATTCGAAGGAATCGAATCATGAGTCGTCTGACTTCCGTACTGAGTTGCCTGCCACACGAGGCCTTAAGGGGCCCCCCGGTTCACCCCACGAGTGCCAGAAGCTCGGAGCTTGGCGCCCCCCGAGGGGACCGTGGGACCTACTGTGCCATCGACCCTGCCCAGCTCTCAGATCTGCCCAACTCAAAAGCCAAGCTGCTGCTGTGGAGTCATCCCTGACGCATCAATGACGTGCAATTTAAGACATGGCCCCGATCGATCATGTTGGTTGTGCGGCTTTTGTCACGCCCATCGGAGAGAACCAGCGGTTGGATTGGATAGAGATGGCACTTCAATGATTTCGTTCAAGCTGGGAGGTATCAAAGCTTGGACACCCATCTGTCTAAGACATGATGCCCGAATGCCCCTCACCTCTGAAACCGCTTTCGACCGGCCTCGAAAAGACGAAACACGTCCCAAGCGGAAGGAAGAACACCAGTCTCGGCCATTTCAAATACCCGTTTGGCCAAAACGTCGTGCCTTCTGGACTGGGGGCCCGGGTGCCAAAACGTCGGGTCCAGTCATACCGAACCTGAGGAGGTACGACTGGAGGTGCAGGGATAGTGAGTTCAAAAAAGCTATTCTTGACCTCTTTAAACCTTAGGACCTGAACCCACTGAACCTTGGAGTTCCTGTGACTCGAGTCCCTCTGGAATGGATGGGTCGAGTGGTCGAGTTCGAACTTAGGAGGGGAGAAAAAGGCCACGGCCGAAGCGGCCACTGGGAAGATCCAGCAAACTGCACATGATGGAAGATACAGGTATGTCATCTGACTGGTGCTTAGTAGGGAATGAGGGAATGGATCCAATAGAATCTCTATTCGGGGCTCATTCCCTTATTCCCTACTAAGCACCAACTCAGAACTCCACCTAATCATCCAACTGCAATGATGTCCAAACACCTTTTCAGAAGCTTACTCAAACTGGGCCACTGGTTGGTAGAATCACAAGCAAGAAATATGAGTCAATATGAGTCAGTAGCATCAATCCTCCCAACTCTACAGGCCAAATATCATGCTTCATGCTTGGTCAGTGGATGTGCCCAGAAACTGCCGTGGATTGATATGATCACCGAGGATTCATCTGGTTCTCCAGTTACCGATGTTGCATCCCTTGCTTGGTTTCGGTCACAAACCCATTAGGCCTCCAGTCGTACTGAACCGTTTCGAAGGGGTGACGACGGGGTTAACCCGGGGGCCCATATTCGTTCCGTCGGGTCCATACCGAACCGGTTTGGTACGAAGGTACGTCGGTGTAGGGAAAGGTACGGCCACGTTCGGTCACAGAGTTCCAAAGTTCGGTCGAAGGTTCAAAACACCTGTCCCAGACACGACCCGACTAATGGGACTGCCATAGCACGGCCGATCAAGCCAGACCCCTCTGGCACCACCCCTGGCCTGATCGGCAGTCCGGCAGTCCCATTAGTCGTGTCTGGGTGTTTGGTCTGTTCTTTTGTGGCCACGAAGGTTCATCGGCCGACTCCAGGCGAGCCACAACACAGGCTGAGTCCAAAAAGATCGAAACTTCAACAACCTGGGTCTGCCTGTCATCCTGTCTTCCCCGAGTCTTCCCCTGTCTTCCCCGTGTGGCGTATGGTGATGTTCAAGGTGAACAGGCCAAACCAGTTGACACATCGTCCAACTTGCTGCTTTATGAAGGATGTGTATATATAGTCAAGGCCTGTGAGTTCCTTCCGTGATACTGAGAAAGGCTGAGCATTCTCAGAATCTCCAAGATCTCCAAGCCTTTCCTATCTCCCAAAACAACGATCCACTGATTTGAACCATTGATCCCAGAGGGATCTGGAAGTGATTCCAAGGTCTTGGCCTTGACTTCAACCCGGCTGCTCTGGAGCCTTTGAGGTCATCCTGGTTTCTTTACGCGGAACGTCAGGCTGACGCCGTCCGCTGATGGCGAACGTCAGGTCTTTCCCGGCCTTACAACACGGTCCACCGCCACGTCCACGTTGGTATATGCCAAGGGCACATATTGCAGAAAGGTCACGGGACCGGATGCTCCCGTGATCTTGTCCTCGTCAAAGCGAAGTCAAAGGAAGTGGGGGCCAGGGCCAGGAATGACGACGCTCTGTGAGTAGTAAGCGTCCGATCGTTCCTAGTAGTAAGGCCAGGGTCGCCCTGTTCGGTTCGCATCCTTGTTCCGTTCGTAGCAATGCCCTTTGTTACTAGTAGCTTCTTGCTCGTGCTTCTTCTTCTACGAAAGGCATCGTCCTAAAGAAGTGGCGTCCTACGGCTACCCATGGCTACCCTATAGGGCTCCAAGCATGCGTTTGCGTGCGGTGTTTGTTCGGTGAGTTTGTTCGGGTAATTGTTTCACCTCGAATCAGGTCAACTGACTGGTCAGGTTGCAGGCCTTCTTCCAAAAACGTGCTTGAACAAACATGACATGCTCGTCTATAGGCCTAAGTTCGGACAAACCCCCCAAAAGCATAGATATATCATCCATCCAGGATAATCCAGGATGTTCACACACTACCGCTCCATCCCCGGAAGGAATCCGCACCCCGCTCCGCGCTCAGGGCGCCTTGAAGTTGGCGCTGGTGATGTCCGCTGAGTCCATGTAGGTGGCATCCGTGGCGGGCAAGGTCGGCATGCACCACACGGTGCCTACTTCGGTGTCGACCGAGTCGTGGTACGGCACCCCAGGACCCGACCTTGCCCACCAGGGTGGGGATAGAGGTCCGGTGGAAATGAGTGATCTCGTTCTCGTTTTTTGGGTAGATTCAAGTGGTTCTTCAAGGAACTCGGTCAAGAAACAACTGATCGCACAGATTCGGTGGATGTTTCCATGAATCCATCTTCTGCGGTTTCTTTCTGCTGGCATTTCTCAGCCCTAGCGATCCACGGCCACCGTACCTCAGGTTCGGTACGACTGGGCCCGACCCAGGCCTACATACACAGTCTCGGTCCTCACCATACGACTGGATTTCTAGGGCATGATGGACCTCCACAACCCTCAGAGACGCGGATGTGATCTCAACCAAACCGCCAGACCGAGGTTCCACCCGACCGCCATGGCACACATGCACAGTATTGCACAAATATGCACAGTAGCCTCCGCCCTGGCACAGGACATGTGCCTGGTTCATTCAACTGCAAGGTGATCTGGATCGTGTCTTCTGAAAGCGCTTCAGTGGAGACAAAAATCCTGAGTCGTGGTGAAGGATGAGTCAATTGGAAACCGTCGCCATCGCACAAGGGTGGAACACATCAATTATTTGCCAACCGGACCCTATGATCTTAATGCATGGTTGAAATATGTTGTATATGTAGCAAGTCCTTGCACATGTGGAATCAGTACTTGACCTATGCACCCCAAAAACAGTGATCTTGGACAACACAGAATGAACAGAAACCTGCAAACTGACCTCCATGGGTGGTCAAGCGGCACCTGCAAGCTGACGGTAATGGGTGGTCAACTCTGCACCATATTCGTTGGCTTCATGGGCACCTTGCCTTTAAAAAATGTGTTACAGGTTGTCGTTGAAAAAGCCGTTCACAACGAAACATTGGCACAACTTAAAATGTTGGAAATGCAATGTTTTAATCCATGGTTAACACAACGGTCAAAACATGTCGACATGCTACACGACCAGAGGTGCTTGTTGCCAAGGTGCATGGTCGGCGGCGTGAGATCTTTGACCCAAACGTTCAAGGTCTTTCCCCCGCTGGGCGATGTCTGGGCGTGTGCCAATGTGGTGCCGACCGGAGTGTCCACGTAGTCCTTGCAGGTTGGATGCTGTGTAGAACACAGCAGCATTCCACATCAGTGCAGGACCCACAAGCCAAGACGGTATGAGTCTGAGTTACAAAGTCACAGGGAGCCCCGTGGTACATGCAGCGTGCAAGTGTTGTTGATGGATGTGTGTTTGTGTGTGCGCTTGATGGTGCTCTACCTTATTCTGCGTGCCACACTGACTATATCTGAGAGTGCTTGGGGTTCGCACCTGCGGCAGCAAGCAGCTTTATTAGTAAGCTCACAGTGTAGAAATCGCCGGATGCGCCATGATGCGCCTAGTCCCTGGCTACAAAGGCCTGCGTGCTCATCAATCCAGCATCTGGCGGCTTTCGACCGTGCGGACGAGGCTGCAGGCCGCAGGCTGGCATCGTACCGAGTCCATCTCTCCATCTCTCACCGATGGGAGATATGGCAACGAGTACTCCAACGAGTTCTCCAACGAGTTCACTCCGAGATCACCAGATGTGCACCTGAAAAAAAGCGCCGCCAAGCCACCCCTTGTCAAGTTCAAACAATTGGTGAAGCCTCCATTTGGATGGTGCTGGTTGAACCGTTGAAGCAGAGTAGATGGGGACCAGGGGGGCGGGAGCCCGGTGATTTTAAAACCAATTAGGATAGAACAGCCAGCCTTACCTACCTTTTGGACATAACGTGGAAGTAGAAAACACAGCCAGGTCTTAGCTGTCTTGGCGAATGAAACAACCAAAAGTCCTGGTGCAGGGCATATATATATACCAGTCAATTGGGGTGGTTGAAAAGGGGTCAATATGGGTCAATGTATTCCAGTCCCATGGATAGTCTGAGGATTTAGAGGTGCCTTTGTCATGCATTGCCCCGGACCTCATGTTGAGTCACGTTGAGTATCGCATCCAACTCCGCCATCGACCCCGGAGCTAACGAGCTTCGATCCCTTGCCGCTTTTGGAGTTCAAAGGAGTGACATGTCCCGCCGGTGACATCGACAGTCGCCTGCGATATACGCCATGCACGCCACGCATGAATCCGGTTTGCCACGAAGTATCTTCCTCAAGGAAGATCTTCAGGAACGCTAGGGTTGGTGCGCGTCTGCTCAACATGCTTTGCAAAATACAAACTGAGCATTAACATGCCCTGCTGGTTGCTCGATAACTTGACTGGTTGGGGTTCAACGAATTGATGGACCGGCCATCATCGCCGCCACCTTCCCAAAACGCGTTGGCTGTTTAAAAAAAAATAACTCCTGAAGGAAAAAACATCCTGAAAAAACGATGGTGAATTCCTCGAAAAAACGCAGCAGCTGAGCTATTCGAGAAATTGCGTGCCACGAACCTTCTCATCACTCCCATCATCTCCCAAACACTCCAAGAAGGGAAGGTGGATCTGTCAGAATGTGACCATGCGGATTGATGTTGGGTCATTCCAAAGTGAACAACAAAGCGGCATGGGTCTTTGGACGGCATGTGAGCCACTCTAAAAACCTGCAGTCACTCCCTATGTCGTATCACTTTCCTTGCGCGAGGCCTTACGCGCTGCTTACGCGGCCCTCACTTTTGCTTACGCAGAGCAAACTTCCGAAATGCTTACGCGAAATGCTTACGCAGTCTTACGCAACCCAGGGTTTTGCTTACGCGGAATTCGATATGACAAGGTCCTTACTTAAGATGTAAAGGCAGGTTTTTAGAGCGGCTCATGTGTCTTTTTGAAAAGACCCATTGTGCCAGGATAAGGTGTGATAGGGGACAATCTCCAAAGCCAACCTCTGTCATGTGTTGGTGTGATAGGAGACAATCTCCAAAACG